TTTATTTATTTATTTATTTATTTATTTATTTATTTATTTATTTATTTACTTTTACTTAATGCTTTAATATCTGCTTTCTAAGGAGTCAGTGGGCTTATGAACAAAAATGCTTGGGAATTCTGATGTTTCTCACCCTTTGGCACTGAGTTGCCTCCCAACTCTGACCTTTGTGCTTGTTTTGATCTCTTTTGGGGTGTTTTCTTTTTGTTAAAACAGTAATTTCTATATATTGCTTATAAAGAGTAGTTGTTTTAATTCTAATCAAGTTTTATTTTGCTAATGCTTTTAGTAGTGGTTTTTTAAACTATTTATTTTCATTAAAATTTATTTACTTTGTATTCCAGCTGTAGCCCCTTCCCTTGTCCCCTCCGAATCCCACCCACCTTACCTCTTCTCCTGCCATGCCCCTCCCTCAGTCCACTGATAGAGGAGGACCTCCTCCTCTTCCATCTGACCCTAGCCTATCAGGTCTCACCAGGTCTAGCTGCATTGTCTTCCTCTGTGGCCTGGTAAGGCTGCTCCTTCCCAGGGGGAGGTGATCAAAGAGCCAGCCACTGAGTTCATGCGAGAGACAGCCCTGTTTTTCTTACTAGGGAACCCATTTGGAGACTGAGCTGCCATGGGCTACATCTGTGCAGGGGTTGTAGGTTATCTCCATGAATGGTCCTTAGTTCTCAGAAAAGACCCCTTTGCCTAGATTTTTTGGTTCTTTTGCTCTCCTTACGGAGCTTCTGTTCCCTCCAGGTCTTTCTATCTCCCCCTTCTTTCATAAGATTCCTTGCACTCTGCCCAATGTTTGGCTATGTTTAGTAGTGTTTTTTTAAGAATCAATTTTTGCTGGGTATGGTGGTGCATGCTTTTAATCCCAGCACACGGGAGGCAGAGGCAGGCAGATCTCTGAGTTTGAGGCCAGCTTGGTCTACAGAGTGAGTTCTAGGACAGCCAGGGCTACAAAGAGAAACCCTGTCTCAGAAAAAAAAAAAAAAAAAAAAAGAAGAAGAAAAAAAATCAACTTTTTTTGGGCCAGGTGATGGCTCAATGGAAAGCCTGCTTGCTGTATAAGTGTGGGGACCCAGTTTAGCTCTCCAGCACCCATGTGAAAGCAGAGCCACCGTGACATGTGCCTGTAATCTCACTGGGATAGTGGCACACAGACAGGTAGGGCTCTGCAGTTCCCTGGTCAGCACGTCTAGCTATAACAGTGCTCTCTAGTTTCAGGCAGAGACAGCAATTGTGGAAGACCCCAATGGTAACCTTCGATCTCCTCGTAAATGCAGAGGTGAAAAGCTCCTGTGTACATCAGTGCACTGTGCTGATAACACACATGTGCATGCACACACATACAGGTGGGAGTACACATATGCAAGTGCATTTTTAATCCACTTTTACGATGTGAGAAAAAAATGTATCTTTAAGGCAAATCTCCAAAGCCATGAACTTGACAATGAAATGACATTACTTGTCCGAGAAAGCACCAGATTGATTTTCAGAGTGGTTATGCAACATTCCCAACAGCAATGGAGGAGGGTTTCCCTTTCTCCACAACCTTTCCAGCATGTGTTGTCACTTGAGTTTTTGATCTTAGCCATTCTGATGGGTGTAAGGTGAAATCGCAGGGTCGTTTTGATTTGCATTTCCCTGATTACTAAAGATGTTGAGCATTTCTTTAAGTGTTTCTCTGCCATTTGATATTCCTATATTGAGATTTGTCTATTTAGCTTTGTACCCCATTTTTTAGTTGGAATACTTGATTTTTTGCTGTTTACCTTCTCAAGATCCAGCTATACCACTCCTAGGCATATATCCAAATAAGCCCAAGTATACAACAAGGATATTTGCTCAGCCATGTTCATAGAAGCTTTATTTGTAATAGCCAGAATCTGGAAACAATCCAGATGTCCCTCAATTGAGGAATGGATACAGAAATTGTGGTACATTTACACAATGGAATACTACTCAGCAATTAGCAATTAAAAACAAGGAAATCATGAAATTTTCAGGCAAATGGTGAGAACTAGAAAAGATCATCCTGAGTGAGGTAACCCAGAAGTAGAAAGACACACATGGTATATACTCATTTATAAGAGGATATTAGACATAAAATATAGGATAATCATATTATAATCTGTACACCTAAAGAAGCTAAGCAAGAAGGAGGATCCTGGATAAGATGCTCAATCCTCATTCAGAAAGGCAAATGGGAAAGACATCCGAAGAAGGTGAAAACAAGGAACAAGACAGGAGCCTACCAAAGAGGGCCTCACCTGAAAGATTCTACCCATCAGGATATTAAAGCAGATGTTGAGACTCATAGCCAAACTTTGGGCAGAGTGCAGGAAATCTTATGAAAGAAGGGGGAGATAGAAAGACCTGGAAGGGTCTGGAGCTCCACAAGGAGAACAACAGAACCAAAAAATCTGGGCCTAGGGGTCTTTTCTGAGACTCATACTCCAACCAAAGACCATTCATGGAGATAACCTAGAAACCCTGCACAGATGTAGCCTGTGGCAGCTCTGTGTCCAAATGGGTTTCCTAGTAAGGGGAACAAGGGCTCTCTCTAACATGAACTCAGTGGCTGGCTCTTTGATCACCTCCCCCTTGCGGGGAGGGGGGGGCAAACTTACCTGACCACGAGAAAGACTAAGAAAGATGGTCCTGATGAGACTTGATAGGCTAGGGGTCAGATGGAAGGGAAAGAGCTCTTCTCCTATCAGTGGACTGGAAAAGGGCCATGGGAGGAGATGAGGGAAGGTGGGAGGGGACTAGGGTAGGGACTACAGCTGGAATACAAAGTGAATAAATTGTAATAAATAAAAAAATTATATTAAAAAATATATGATTAAAGAGGTTTTGTGAGCCTACAAGAGAAAAAAAAAAGAAAATTATATTATTTTATATAACCTAAGCATCTGTGTTTTGTTGCTTTCTTTGGCCAGCTAGATAGACGATCAGCTGAACATTCTGCTGACCACCTTCCAGCTCACAGAGGAGAATATCAGGCTCCGCCATCTCACCTGCTCTCTCATTGAGGACATAGCTGCTGCATATTTTCCTGGCTGTGTCATCTGGCCCTTTGGCTCCTCGGTGAACACGTTTGGAAAATTAGGATGTGATTTGGATATGTTTTTAGATCTAGATGAAGTTGGAAAACTCAATGTTCACAAGGTACTAAATATTTCTTTTCACTACTACAAAAAAGTTAGAAAAGGCAGATCTTTGGCTCTAGTAAAATTGTAGCTGTTGGTTTCTAACTTAGTGAACACGATTCAAGTTTATCTGCTAGTGATTCTCTGGAGTTGTAGAGCTTTTCTTTGTGTGTGATCGTTTACTGTGTCTCTTCTACATGTGCAGAAAACGTTGCTCCCTCAGGGTCAGAGCACTGACATTCACACCGTATTTCAGACCTTAGTACATATGTTGGGTTCGTAGTCACGTAGTCCCTTATAGACTTTGAAACATCCTGTTTTCTACTTTTTCATGTGTGCTTCTTGGTACTCCAGCTCCCAGACTTACCTTAGAATGGAGTCTGGTTTTCTCACAATCTTAGGATTGTTTTTCCTGTTCTAGAATGGTTCTTGTTAGCACAGCCTTGAAAAGATTGGTCTCTTAGTTTTAAGGCCTACTTCTGCCTCAGCCTTCTTGAAGCCATCCTTTCTTTTTTTTCTCCACCATACTTAAAATTACCCCACCATCTTTTTCTCCATTGCTGTTACTTCTGTCTCTGGGATCTCTTCCTGTTGTGTCTAGTTAGTGACTAATCGGACGTCCCCACTGTGTCATAAGCTGAGCAGGACAGGTGTGTGTCCGTGAATTACTTCCACTATACTTCTAGTTGTCTAGTCTGCAGAGCTGTGTGTGTTCATTGAGCTGAAATTAGCAAGGAGTAGACAACATCACAGTTAAATGTGTCAGACTGAGATTACAGGCATTGGAAACTGAGTTAAATTCCTGGTATGGGAACCTAAATTATGTGCACTTTTATTTTTATTTATTTATTAGACATATTTCATGAAATATGTGACTCGGCCATTTAAAATATACAATTTTGTATTAATGTTATTATTTCTGTATTTGCAGATTGCTATAAGTATTAGAAAAATAAAGTTTAGACTATCTTTATCTCACCAAAAAGCACTGTCTCAGGTGCTAGGCTTTTTTATGAAGGAGCGCGGCGGAGCTTAGGGTTAGAAAGCCTGGGCTGTGCAGGCAGTGGAAGAGTCAGCATTCTGTTATTAGCAAGGTGGCATTGGGTAAATGGTTTTCCAGTTCTCTGTGACATCAGGACATAAATTCACACAGGGTTTGAGATTGACTGAATTCACTATTGACTGGACCTAAGAGCGCAAGTGTGGCCACCGTCTCAGCAGGATTGCTATTTTACCTTTTTATAGTAGGATTTTTTTTTTTTTCCCCTATGTTGGAAGCAGAAGTTTGTGGATAGCTTTTAGTTTTAACTCTTTGTGTTTCTGAAGTATTTTGGTAGTATTTAGAAAAGTTACTTAAAAGGTTTTCCTCCATTGTGATGAGGTAATCTTACATTTTGTGTATTTAACTTTTGAAAATGTTATAGATGTGCATGCTTGTTTAAGATTGTTTTTGAGATTATGGCTTAAGAATATATCCTTATTTATGGTTATCATAGATTTGTAAATAGAAAAATTGATAATTATACAGTGACAATGTAAATACTCTTAAATTTGCCTGTTTCCTAACATCTTTTATTTTTTAAGATTTATTTATTATGTATACAATGTTCTGTCTGTATGTATACCTGAATGCTAGAAGAGGGAACCAGATCTCAGTATAGATACTACCATGTGGTTACTGGGAATTGAACTCAGGACCTCTGAAAGAACAGCCAGTGCTCTTAACTTCTGAGCCATCTCTCCAGCCCCTCCTAATTGGCCAATCATGAACCTCTTGGCACTCCACCTTGTTTTCTAATTCATTGTTTGGTGGTTTTATTTTTCAGCCTAGGTTGAGGGAGTTTGAAATTGTATTTTGACTCTTTAAAAATTTTTTATTTTAGATTTATTATTTGTTTATTCTTTATGTTGTATGAATGAGTGTTTTGCTTGCATGTATGTGTGTATACCATGTTCTGGATCTGGGAACTGAAGTTCTGGGTGGTTGTGAGCCACCATGTGGGTGCTGGATACAGAACTTGGGTCCTAAGTAAAAGCAAAATGCTCTTAACTGCTGAGCCATCCCTCCAGCCCTATCTATCTATCCATCTATCTATCTATCTATCTATCTATCTATCTATCTATCTATCTATCAAATGTAGGCGTGTTCTCTCAGCATGTACACCTACATGCCAGAAGAGGCATTAGATAGTCATGAGCCACCATGTGGTTGCTGGGAATTGAACTCAGGACCTCTGGAAGAGGAGCTAGTGTTCATAACTGCTGAGACATCTTACCAGTCCACATATTGACCCTTTTTATACATCTCAGAGTGCTATGAAGGACAGGGACTAACAGTTTGTTTACTGATGAGTAAATGAGTCACTTACTAATTGAAGTAATAATGTATGAACTGTGCCAATGACCTTAACACAAACGTCTTTTTAGAATGAAATAGGAAGCTAACATCTGCCTTTGGCTTTCTTCAGTTTGGCATTTTTTTTTTTTTTTTGATAGTATTGCAGAATTTAGTCAATAGAAATAAAAATGAGAAACTGTGTCCCAAGTAGTGTTACCTGTCATCTGAATGACCAGTTTGGGCTGTGTGCTTAGTTGTCGTTTTTTGTTTGTTTTTCTCATTAGATTTTCTAATGTGTAGTGCTGTAGGGACAGCGGTATGAGAAACTCATGGAGTTACTGTTTCTGCAGTTTTTCTGAGTATATGATGTGTGTGCACATGGAGGTGTGCATGCACATGTGTGCTTCTGACACAGAGGTCATAATTCAACATGGGTAGTCATGTGGCTGTGCATGCACATGACTGTACTTGTGGAGGCCAGAGTTGCACATGCGGTGTCTTCCTCTGTCTCTCCATCCTGTTGTTAGAGACAGCATTTCTTACTGAATTCAGCACTCACTGACTGGCGAGGCAAGCTGACCAGCACTGGTTGTGAGCAGACGCCTTGCCATTGGAGCGGTTTCCCAGCCCACTTTGTCAAAGTTTTGTTTACTTGGTGGACAAAAGTAGTTTTGGAGAGTCTCTTACCTTTTTGCCCATAACCTATGTATTTTTCTGTCATCTGCATCTTCCATAGTTACATGTTTTATTTCTATGCAGTCTTTTGGTCTGATTAGCCTACATGTTCTTTTGCTTTTTATGTCATTCATGCTAAGCTTGATTATGCTTTGGTAGCAGTCAATCTCCTGGATCTCAGGGTCTTTACACAGCAGCTGTCTGTCTTGCTGAGGCTGAATCCAGAGCAGCTCAGCAACAGCACTCTAGTCACGATTTCTTCCCAGCAGCCAGGCTGACTAGCTCATTTCTGCTTGTTCTTCCTGTCCTTGAAAACAGTGACAAGAGAACTGAGGTATGGCCCTTTATGGCTTGCTCTGATTCTACTTAAAAATGATGCAGGAAGCCTCTGCCTACATACAAAGCACACACACGGGCATGGGAGGCTCAGCATCCTGAGCACATGCACGGAGCAGTTCACTAGCTATCTCTGGCCTGGCTATTCCTCACAGTTCTAGTGCTGTTTCCAAGTCCATTGCTCTGAACCAATTTTTTTGTTTGTGTGTTTTTGTTTTGTTTTGGTGGCATCATTTGCACTTCTTCCACATCCCTTTCTTATGAGAGTGAATCCCACCTCACTTCTCTACTATCTGCTCTGCCAGTTTGTAGTGTTTTGTTTTGTTTTTAAACCATCCTGGGATGACTTAATTTCAAATATATTTGTTACTATATTTTTTAATGGATGTTGTTTTTCTTTGCTTATTTACTTTTCCATTGTCTTTATATAAGAGAAAGCCTCTGTGTCTTGTTTTCTCTTGTTGATCTGCTGTTGTTCTGCCCGTATTCTCTTGCTATTGTGAGTTGATAGGTTCGTTGGAAAGGGCATGGCCCCTGGCTAAATGGAAAGGGCAGGTCTATGTTCAGAGAATGTATGTAATAAGTAGCTCCGTATCTCATTAGTACTTTATGGACATACTCGACTGAGGTACATACGTTAATTATAAACAGTCAGTTTTGTAGATTAGTGCCTTGTATTTCACAATACCCAAAGGCTATCAAACATCCTTAAGGCTATTTTGCTATGACTGCATGTGTCTCTGCGCTGATTTGTTTGGCTAGAGTTACTTAGACTTTTAGGTTCTAAATCACCCTTTTCCCAAAGTTTAAAAAAATTCCTTTTCCCAAAATCCCTTCATAATATTCAGTGTTTTTATATTCAGAATGCAGGGAATTTTTTGATGGAATTTCAAGTGAAAAATGTTCCTTCAGAAAGAATTGCAACCCAGAAGATCCTATCTGTAATAGGAGAGTGCCTTGACAACTTTGGCCCTGGCTGTGTGGGTGTTCAGAAAATACTGAATGCTCGATGTCCACTCGTGAGATTCTCCCATCAGGCCTCTGGATTTCAATGTGATTTGACTGCTAACAACAGGTATGGCCTTGTAAATGTATTCACTTAAATGTGACTATTCTTACTTTTCTTGTTTAGAAACAGTAGCCCAGAACTATTAGACACACTTCAATAATGATCCATCTGTCTGTCTGTTTTAATGTGAAGTCGCTAAATTGGGTGCAATGGCACATGCCTATACTCCCTGCCTACAGGGGTCTGAGTCAAGAGAATTGTGTTTGAGGCCTTCTTGAGCTACATACCTGAGTTATATCAAGACTCTCATTTTTATTTTGACTGAAAGATTTATTAAAAATAGGTTTAAACCTGATTTTCCTCCCCTCTTTTTGTGTGTAGGATATGTTGCCCAGACTGGTACCCAAGTCCTGGGCTCAAACAGATTCTCCTGCCTCATCCTGAGTAGATGAAACCACAGGCATGTGCCACCACGCCATGCTTACGGCCACGCCATGCTTGCTCTGAGGTGTGTCACCATACCCTGAGGTGCGCCACACCATGTGTACTCGGAGTGCGATATCTTAGCCGCTGCTTTAGCTTCTGGGTGGTTTTGCTTTTATACATTGAGCTTGAGTAATTTTGGCTGTTCACAATTAAGAATTTCAAGAAAATACTTTCTTGATCAAATTAGTAGTAGAATGTTTTCCTGTATAAGGCAGTTTGCTTGCAAAAGACTAGATAAGTAAGACCTGAGGCTTCAGTGCAGAAACATTTTCCAGTAGTCCTGTCTATAGTTTCAATTACTAAGAGACCTTAGATATTGCACTTTTATTTTAAGAAATTATGTTTAAGAACTTTGTCTTAAAAAAATGTGTTTCAGAGCTTGATTCCATGGTTGTCACTGTTTTTAAGAATGTTGCAAGGCAGTGGATGATTGATATCCAAGCATTTACATTGGGTTGAATATTTCGGATGCACAGCGATGTCAAGTGGTTGGCTTGGAGGCACAGTTTGATGTAGCTCAGGCTGGCCTTCAGCTCCTGGTCCCCATGCCTTCGCCTCCCAAGAAGCTGGATTTGCAGTGCTTGCCATCGTGCCTGCTGCATAGTGCTTTTAGTTTAATTGTGGTGTTCCACATGTAGGCGGAAACAGCAAGATACTTAGATGTTTCCAAATGTGTCTTATTTGACTCCTGTATCCTAACTTGCGGGTTGAAGTTTTTATTTTTAACTTTTCTGTTTTGAAGTATTGCTTTGAAAAGTTCCGAACTTCTTTATATATATGGATCCTTGGATTCAAGAGTAAGAGCCTTGGTGTTCAGTGTGCGATGCTGGGCTCGGGCACATTCGTTAACAAGCAGTATCCCTGGTGCTTGGATTACAAACTTCTCCCTAACAGTGATGGTCATCTTTTTCCTCCAGAGAAGATCACCCCCCATTCTTCCAACTCTGGATTCCCTAAAATCCCTAGCAGGTAAGACTAGAAGTAACCTTTTTTCTTTTGACACTGGATAGACATTTACCATGTATAATCAAAGCACATACATTTGTAAATCATGTCATTTACTTCTTTATTTTTAAATCTAAAAATAAATGGGTGTGAGTTTTAATTCTCATTCTAAATTTTAAGTGGTATATGTGTGTGCATGCGTGCGTTCACCAGCAGACATAAGAACTGGTGGTTGTCAAGCTAGTCTTTTGGAATTTAGAGTTGTGCCTTATTTGTATCAGTTAACAACTGGCTTACCCTAACGTTTGAACACCTGGAGCTTCTCACTTAGTTGACTCAGTCTGGGATGAAGTTGAAAAAATACTTAGAAGGTCAAGCTATGGATCCAATCACAGTTTCCGGGCTTTCCAGATTCAATCCTGTCCAGACAGCACTGTGGTACCTGAAACTGCTTCCTGGTGTTCTAAAGATTCTCAGTGTAGTTGTATTTGAGTTTAAAATCTATTCTAGGTGATAGTGTTTTAAATTCAGCATGCTGTTTATATTATGAATAAATTTAAATTTTGGTAGCTTGCTGGAGGAAATAGAAAAATATTCTGATCTGTAAAAGGAAGATGGTTCAGGGGTACATATGTAGAAAGTGTGTACATACTGTTATAGTTGTCATATTGTACATGTTGCTCCAAGGTAATTCTTAGTGCATATGGGTCTTCTCTGTTTAAACTAACCCTGAGAGGAATCTTATTCTTATATAATAAGATGTAAACCACTTGTTTGTGTTTAAAACCACCTGCCATCTAAGCTACAGTATTCTCTGGCATTCTCCTTATGTGTTCTCATACCCATACTATGATTGTTCTCAATATTTCTTATCTGCTCCTTTAGTCATAATGTATTATTATTATTATTATTATTATTATTATTATTATTATTTTGCCTGGAATGTGCTTTCTCTTCTTTCAAACTAAATTATCTCAGGCTACATTTATCTCTTGAATACCTTTCCTTAATTCAAATCAGAAGTAACTGTATCTGGAAAGCAACAGATATTAGTATAATTCACAGGGGAGCTAAGAAAAAGCTGAATTGGTGGGTTACCAGAGAGTAAGCAGGGTGGACTGGCACTCAATCTCAGATTGGAGGCTGAAACAGAAGGCAGCAGTAATGCCTGTGGGCTCTCCTCCCTGGCATTGTTCTTTGAATAGGTGATTGCGTGTTGTGTCAGGTAGACAGTTTCCAGTAGCTAACAAACTGAAAGGATAAGACACAAACAAAATGAAGTAGATTCTCATCAATGAACAACTTGTAAATAGCCCTTCTTATTCTTCTCCTGCTGGGTACACTGATGTTTTAATATTGAAAAGTCATTAGAGAGAAAAGTCATGAAACTCTTGGGGTTCGGAAGCAGGGAAAAAAAGAAAACAAATTGACGCTATTTTGTGTTAGGGATGGACCGTCTGAAAAAACAAAGATGGCTTTATCTTAAATCAAATTGCCTGTGAGTTTCAGTATTTTCTTTTTGTGTGTGCGGTTTTTTTTTAATTTTTATTTTTTTCTTCACAATTTATTCATCATATATCCTGATTGAAGCCCCCTCCCTTAACTCCCCAAGTCCCACCCTCCCTCTTCCCCTCATCTCCTTCCCCTAATCCACTGAAAGGGAGAGTTCTCCACTATTGCCATCTGCCCATAGCTTGTTAAGTCTCATCAGGACTGCTTGGATCCTCTTCCTCTGTGGCCTGGCAAGGCTGCATCATCAGGGGCAAGTGATCAGAGAGCAGTCAGCTGAGTTCATGATAGAGGCAGCCCCTGATCTCCTCACTCAGAGATCCACATGGAGACTGAGCTGCCAATCGGCCACATCTGAGCACATTTCTATGCATGATCCTCTGTTGGCACATCAGTCTCTGCAGGACCCCCTGGGCTCAGATCTTTTAGTTTGGTTGGTCTCCTTGTGGGGCTCCGGTCCCCTCCATATCCCTCTAATCCCACCCAGAGTTTCAGTATTTTCTATGAAGTCTTTTTAGTAAAAAGGAACACTGTGTTGGCTAATTTTGTGTCACCTTGACACACAAACTAGAGTTATCTGAAAGGAGAGAACCTTAATTGAGAAAATGCCTTCATAAGATCTAGCTGTAAGGCATTTTCTTAATAAGTGATTGATGTGGGGGAGGGTCCCAGCCTGTTGTTGGTTGTTCTATCCCTGGGCTGGTGGTCCTGGGTTCTGTATGAAAGCAGGCTGAGCAAATCAGTTAGCACCACTTCATGGCTTCTCATCAGCTCCTGCCTCAAGGATCCTATCCTGTTTGAACTCCTGTCCTGACTTCCTTTGGTGATGAACAGCAATATAGAAGTGTAAGCTGCTTTTTGGGCATGATATTTTTGTTGCAGCAATAGAAACCCTAACTAAGACAAACACTAGTAGAGAAAGTCTGGGGTTTTTATTGAGATGTATTTATAGAGATATTTTTAATGTGACTTATTTTTCTGTGTTTAGCTTTTTAAAGTTGAAGACATTTTCACACAATATATTTTGATTATGGTTTACCCTCCCCACTCCTCGCAGATGCTCTCCACTTCCCCACCAACCCAAGTCCACACCTTTTTTTTTTTTTGTCTCAGAATACAAATAAGCAGCTAGATTAAAAACAAATAGAAAAAAAAAAAAAACAAAACAGAAAAAGCACAAGAAACACATACAAATGTTGAGACACACGTATTTGCACACACAGAAAACACACAAAAACCAAATCAGAAAACCTAATATGTAAGCAAAAGATCTATACAGGAGGTGGGGGGGTATCCAGGCCAGGCTCTATCCAGAGAGAGCACTGAGTCTGTTTTGTGCTGGCCATCCACTGCTGGACGTGGTTGGCGTATTCAGGGAGCCGCCATTAGGTGCAAGTATCTCCTTTCTGATTGCTCTTTAATTGGAGATGACTTCTGCTGGGTTAGGGATGGGGGCTTGCATCTAATTCACTACTGGGCCCCATCTGCCTAGACCTGTGTAGAGCCTGTGCATGCTGCCAATCGTCTCTATGGGTCCTTATGTGAATCAGTCTTGTGTACAGAAGGCTTTGTTTCCTTGGTGTCTTCATCCTCTCTCGCTATTACAATCTTTTTGCCTCCTCTTTCTCAGAATTCCCTGAGCCCTGAGGGGAGGGATTTGACGAAGACCTCCCATTAGGACTGAGTATGTCAAGGCCTTCCACTCTCTACACAGTTGTGGGTTTCTGTACTTGTTCCCATCTACTTCAGGAGGAAGCTTCTCTAATGATAGCTGAGTATGATCCTAATCTATAAGTATAGCAGAATGTCATTAGGAGTTCTTACTATGTTTTTTAGTAGCACAGCTGTATTTGGTTTTCCTCTTAGTCCATGGTCTACCATGGTCTAGTCTCAGGTTCCTGGACACCTGGGCAGTGTTGGGCATGGGCTCCATCTCATAGGCCTAATTCCAATCAGATGGTGTGGTTGGTTGTTCCCACAACATTTGTGCCATTATTGCAGTAGTGTATCATGTTGGCAGATCACCATTGTAAATCAGAGTTTGTAGCTGGGTTGGTCTTTACCTTTCTCCTCTGATAGTGTACAAAGTGCCTTCTAGTATTATGAACACTAGTCAATAGGGGTGCAGGTTTTAGGTATGTACCAGCTTTTCTTCTCTGTAATTAGTGAGCTAAGTAGGTATTGTCTTCAGCAGTAGGGCCTTACTGTCAGTTTGTGGAGAGCAACCATTAGCCTTAGGGGTTTTTATGGGGCCCCTTTGTTAGTAATGTTATAAACCAGAGACAAATTCCAGGGGAGGGGAAGGTACAGAGCTAAAAGACAGTGAATATAATTAGCTTATGTGTCATGTGCTGAGCGTGGTGGTACTTATTTTTAATCCCACCTCTCTGGAGGCAAAGGCAGGTGTATCTCTGAATTCAAGGCCAGCCTTATATACAGAGCAAGTTCTAGGACAGCCAGAGCTACACAGAGAAACCTGGTCTCAGGGGAAAAAAAAAAGTGTGTGTGTGTATGTATATGTAAAATGTATATATACACATATATAATCTGTTAGTCAGTTGATGTATTAAAGCATACATACATGTAAATATTTCAGAGAACTAGAATGTTTACCTAGCAGTGAGGTGGATTTGTTCTTTGTGTTGTTAAAGCTTTGGGCAAGTGTAAGGCTACACTGTAGTGGAAGATGCAGAGAAATTTTGTAGGATATAGACAGGCAGAAGAGGAAGGGGTGGCTCCCTCCATTCCCTTCAAGGGCATGTATGTCCTCAGTATGTTTTACCACTTCCCAAAAGCACCAGGTTGAGACTAGTCTCTAACACGTTGCTCTTTGGATGACACTCCTGATTCAAACTGGAGCAGTAGAATACATAACATTGCAATATGTTAAGGGAAATATGTCAGTGACACAGATCTTATTTTTAAATCATTTAAGAACCATAGAAAAAGAGAGACAGGTTTGAAGGAACCTTACTTATTATCTCTTTGTAGTTTTCCCCTAGGGATTATAGACATCCACAATCATTCAGATTATTAAGTATCTGCTATAGAATAGATATGGGTTGTGGATTAACCTGGGAGAGGGATAATCATGGGAGAGTGGCCTTTGTGTTCCCAGACTTGGGCAGCCTGGTGACTTCATGCTGTAGTCAAAACACAGTCAGGTAAGTTTTAATAGAGGAAATATTCAAATGGGAGGCTGCGGCTGATTAGCTTTGTGAGATTGAAGTTGGCTTTTGAGAAGCATCTTGTACATTGTATATCGGGACATGGACTAGGGTATGTGACAGATTTCATGGTACCTGTGGACTTAGCAGAAAGGAAAATGACTCCATATCACTCCATACAAATGCTAGTAGGAAAGTGAATGCCTGGTCTAATGTAATCTTACTTAGTTTGTTTCCTAAATTACTAAATTCTGATCACTCTGAAGTTCTTCATTTGATAAATTAACAAATTTAAAAACCTCTTAGAACAACTATCATCAAAGCATAAACAGTGTTATGAATGGAGAAGGAAATCAATTGCTGAGAAGGATGTCCTGAAGGTTGTTTAGTGGAAGGTAGAAACTGCTTGTTTTCATTTATAACTAGAAAACTGGTTTGTTCAAAAGATGGCATAAGGTCATTGAGTTGCTGGAAGATAACTGTAGCACAGTGGAGGAAGTGCAGCATTGTTTTCACTGTTGTGTGATCATCTCAGGTCCTTTTTAAGTGGAGTTTTAAAACCTATAACTACGTATAACATGACTAAAGCAAGACAGTAGCTAACTGGATTAACTCAGAGATGCCTGTTCTGAAGTAGGGAATGCTTTCCAGTGTGAAACTGTTTCTCTGTATTTAAGATGCTGAAGATAGATGTATATTGGAAGGGAACAACTGTACATTTATTCGGGACTTGAAAAAAATTAAACCTTCTGGAAACACTGAAACATTAGGTAAGTCTTTCTCCTTTTTTTCTTCCCTTTTGGATTCTGACAGATTTTCCTCTTATTTTCTTTATCTCGTTTTCTTGCAGAATTACTGCTGAAGGAATTTTTTGAATATTATGGCAATTTCGCTTTCAATAAAAATTCCATAAACATTCGACAGGTAAAGAATGTGTCAGCATTTATTATAGATTGGCTATCTGCTATACTAGTGTTTCCATTGGGTTCATTTTTAAAGCACTCTAAAGAATGCTCAGGTTTGAGTAACAGTCATGAGGTAGAACTGAAGTGGGCTATGGCACCAAACTCAGTCATGACTAAACTTAGTCATCCTCGAGCTGCAAGAACAGGCGGCAGCTCTGGCATCTGCCATTGTCACAGTGTATGGTCTGTTCTTAATGCTAAGACTGTATCCCTTAAGATTTGGGGTAACATCCCTGGAGTTTACATAGTTGTTTACACTGAAGATGTGCTCTGTGGAAGAACTTTTCTTACTTTGTTTTATTTTTGAGACAAGTTTTGTCATATACATCCAGATTGGCCTTGGGCTTAACGGTTCTTTTGCCTCTACATCCCAGTGCTGTGGTTACAGGCATGTGTCACTACCCTGCCCTGTGGAGGACATTGGTCCTGAGTCCCAAAGATAGATAGATTTGGCTGGTTCCCTCAGCTTTGGTGGTTGGGCTTAATTTACACATGCCACTTAACAGATTTATTTATATTCTCTTTTCCTCCCTATCTGTCCTTCTCGTTTTCCCTTCCTCTGCCCTCCTTTTCTCCATTCAAGCCCCCCTTTTTTTAAGTAGAAGTTGTATTATGTAAAGAGGATTTTTTATTGATGACCTAGTCCAGATACCTGTCACCTGAGCATTGACATCATCATTCATAGATCATAAACCTAAGTAATTTTCTTCAGAGAACACTTGTAAACTATGTAGGAAAAGGAAAATCCTGCTCATATCTGACTCATAGAAATGCATTTGTACCCAAGACCCTTGGGAAAGCAGTTCTTTGCTCTGTGTCTTATGCTTGTCTTGTGTGTCCCTCACAGCCAGTCCCTACATGTGTGTGTCTTCTCTGTTGTGGTCTGTAGGGAAAGGAGCAAAACAAGCCCGATTCTTCACCTCTGTACATCCAGAATCCTTTTGAAACGTCTCTCAACATAAGCAAAAATGTGAGTCCAAACCAGCTACAAAAATTTGTGGAATTGGCCAGAGACAGTGCCTGGATTTTGGAGCAGGAAGAAAAGAATCAGCCTTCCCCTTCGAGTAGGCAACCCTGGGGACTGGCTGCCCTCCTGCTGCCACCTGGGCCACACCACACATCTCTCTCCAGGAAGAAGAGGAAAAAGCCAATGAGTGAAAAAGTCAAAGGCTTGTTAGCAACCATAAAAAGTAACAGCGCAGACAGTTTCGCAGCGACGCCTGGAAAGAGAACAGTCAGTACAAAGGCATGATGGCAGCCATTTTGGACTTCTGGGAAAGAACTGCCCTGAAACTCTAACAGGCCTTAACATTTATCTGATGTCATTTGTCACGATCTTAACACCCTTTTACTTGATCTGAAATTGTGGATATTTTCTTCTGATCAGGTAGAGTTTTATAAAAATATCAGTGGCAAAGAAAATGCAAAGGACATATTTGAACCCTGCAAAGTGAATAGTAAAAGTCAATTTTATCAGCAAACTGGTTGATATTTCTGTCAGTCGAACACTTCTAATAATCTTCATGTATAGGTAATGAATGCAATAAAGCTCCAGAATTTGGTAATTATCTTTAATATCTATTTTCTATTTTTCAACCAAGTTCTCTAATTTGGTGTTTTATTTTCTGATTCATATACAAAGCATTGCGCTTCCCATTGGGTTCCTTTTGTAGGCCTTGTCTTTTTTGATCCTTTCCTGCCCTTCCTAGCACCCCTTCTGATTCTCTTCCCCCACTATCGCTCAGTTGCTGGATTTTGCTTCAAGTATGAGTGACTTTTCTGCTACTCTGTTGATTTCCCTCCCGGTAAGGTCTTCTCCCAAAAGTCCCCAAAGTTTCATGATCTGTACTCCTATATATGCATCAGAATTGAGACCCAGGGTTCACATAGGAAAGGAAAATTACAGCTTTGTCTTTCTAGATCTGGGATAGTTTATTAAGCAAAATTCCCATTCACAGGTTCACAGGTTGGCTTTGGTTCCCTACCTGTTCCTAAAACATAAAAACGCAGAGACTGCAGACACTGAATTTGCTGCTCCAAATGAGAGATGCAAAATTGTGGATATATTGTATTTTCAAATCAAATTTTATTTTTGTTTTTAAGAATAAAATCCTGTTCTACTGAAATGTGTTAACAGAATTTCTAATACTTTTTCACTTCTCTTTTTGAGATCTCTCCTCGTTAAAAAAAAAAAAAAAAAAGTCACTACATACCCAGAGAAATTGTATTGTGTGCAGCAGCTTTTCTTCTGAGATATAATGGTGGAGTTTAAAAACTGGCCCCATGACAGGCGGAGTGACAGTGCGCTGTGCTCGTGGGTGGGTGGCAGCTACCTGAGGTAAAGGAAAGCGTGGGTCAAAGCCTGGCTCGTACCAGTGTTACAGGCTGAGTAGCGTTACATGGCATCCTGCATGCCCCAGGCACAGCTTCCTTAGCTTTTTTATTTGTATGCCTAAGGACAAGCCTTGGTGGCAAGACCAGGACAAGCATTGCATTCACTTTTGTTGGCTAAGATCTGTGGACATACCGTCCGCTGCAATTTGTTATTAGTAATTTTATCCACGAAACCGATCATGATGTGGCATTTTCCGTTGGTGGAGTTCGTGCAGTCCCTGAGGGTTCAGCATTTAGAGGCTTCTGTTGTTTGATGTGCTTAGTGCAGGATGCTCAGCAATGCTGCTACTCCTGCTGCTGCTGCCGCTGCTGCTGCTGCTGCTGCGTTGACTCTGGGCACATTGCAGGACCCTGGGGCAACACTCTGCCAGAAGTCTCACCCCTCACTGCTGCCCTTCAGAGTCCATCATACTTTTCCTGCTACTCAGAATTCGAACTTGGAGCTTGTAATGGGAAACTTTTTAAAGTTTTAGGACAGAGTTCTAATGCACTTAGGATGTTTTGAGAGTCAGCCGCAGTGGGCTTCTGAAGCGAATCTGCCCATAGGGATATGCTCTTGGCTCTCACACCTGAAGCCAGCCAAGTGGTTCCCAGAAAGACCTGCTTTCCTTTATTTGTTTTTTTCTGAAGCTCATTTAGTTGAGATTGATGTTGATTTTAAAGGCATTGATGTAAAAGTTTCTAACTGAAATTATTTTCTTTCCCTAGTTAAAGATGTTTGATCAGAAATTTTCTTTTGTGTTGATTTTAAATTTAGTTATTTACTTAAGCACTAAGGTGCATGTGTATGCTAATGTTCTTTTTTTTTTTTCTTATTTTGACTCTTACAGCCTATTTTCTCTTACTTTATCACTGATAGTCTGTCATTTCATGTTAAGATGTAATTATGTGATGAATTTGAATGTATGAATTCTGTTTGAGACAGGGTCCATAGAGCTCTGGCTGGCCATGAACTTACTATGTAGCAGAAGACTCCTGATTCCCTACCTGTCTCCCAAGTGCTCAAATACATTTTTTAATATACAATTTTACAATAAAGGTCCAGGAACATTCCTGTTATGGCAAAGTAGGTGTTTTGGTTTTGGTTTTGTTGGGTATGTGCGTTGGTGCCGCTGCAGCTGCTGCCGCTGTTTATGTTTTTGTTTTCTTTTTGATTCCAGGATCAGTTGATGCGTAGGGCTTTTGCACATTCCATTTAGGCTGACATTCTACCATTGAGCTTCATCCCAGTCCTATAATAAATGGTTTTAATCTATATTTCACTGAGTGTACACTACAGATAATGTATTTCCTTGTATCGTCAGTATATCACAGCCCCATTTGTGCGTACGTATGTGTGCGTAGCCCAGAGTTGGCCCTGGATATATTCAGTCACTCTCCACCTTGGTTTTTGAGACAGGGTCACTCGTTTAACTTGGCGCCCACCAGCTTCATTTGCTAGACTGGCCCGGTGTGCCTCAGGGATCTTCCTGTCTCCATCTCCCTAGCACTGGGATTACAGATACTCATTGCCATGTCCGGCTTCTGTATGAGTGCTGGGGCTCAGACTCAGGTCTGTATTCCTTCTCTGCTGACCGAGCCATCTTCCTAGAACACTCATGATTTCCTCTTACTAATTTTATTTCATAATAAGGATATGTTGTCAACTTGGCGATGGTCTGACTGAATTAAATGACAAGAAAAAGGAAAAAAGTTCAGGCTTTTTCCTGTGTGTCACTAGGCTTTTATTGGGTAGGTTTCAACTACTGTGGCTTTCTTGAATATATGAAAATAATTTTGGTAGATTACCTAGATCAAATTGATTTGAGCTCTGTATTGTCAGGGTTCTGTAGCCCAGCAAAATAGTTCCTGAAATTTGATAATTAGCCGGAACTGGTCTAGGAAATGAGAAGTAGCCTGAGGCAGTCTGGGACCCAGGATACATAAAATCCCCCTATTATTAAAAATGCCCTTTGCCTTTTAAATGTGATGTTAGCTTTGTAGGGTGTGTGTACCCATCTTTACATATTTACTGATAACAAAGCTGCAGTAAAGGTGAAATTTGTTTTTCTTTTGTCTGTTACGAGAGTATTAAAACACTTTCCTCTTTAAATAAATTTTGTTATAATTTATTTTTTCTTATTTATTTTATTCCCTGTATATCCTTGTAGTCTCTTCCCTCTTCCCTCTTCCCCTTCCAGTCCCGAAAGGGGAGCTCCCTTTCCCAACCACCCCAGCTCATCAAGTTGCATCAGGACTGAATGTGTCTTCCCCTATGGCCTGTCAAGGTAGTACCACCAGGGGAAAGTGATCAAAAAGCTAGCAAGTGAGTCCATGTGTGATTCAGTACCCACTTCCCTCGCTAGATGACCCACTTGAAGCCTAAGCTGCCTGTCTGCTACATCTTTGTAGAGACTCCTAATAGCAGAGACCGTAGAGACATCTGTAACCAGACTAGTCTTCTAGTAAAGGGCAGGGAACACCAACCCACCCACAAAAACTTCAACACAAAATTTACCCTTCCAACTAGATGTACAGGGATGAAGACAGAGTAGATAGAGATTAAGGGAATGCCCAACCAATTCCTGGTCCAACCAAAGACCCACCCTTTTGGAGAGCGCCAACCCCTGACACTATGAATGACTCTGCTAAGCCTGCAGATAGGAGCCCATCAGAGTTGTGCTCTGAGAGGCTCTACCCAGTAGTGCCTCAGCAGAAGAGCATTGGTCAATGCATAGGGAGTCTTGGGGAAGAGTAGGAAGAAAGAGAAAAGAACCTGGAAGTGACAGGAGCTGCCCACAAGAAAAGCAATGGAGCCAACTAACTAGGGCCCAGAGGAGTTTGCTGAAACTGAAGCATCAAACAAGGACCCTTCACGATTGGACCTAGGCCCCTATGGAGGTACAGCAGATGGGCAGCTTAGGCTTTAAGTGCTCTGTCTACAACAAAAATTTTAAGTTCTCAGAATATAGTGCTGAGATATTATTAAGAGTATCAGGCTGGTAGATGGCTCAGTAGGTAACATTCTTGCTGGACAAGGATGAGAATCCTCAGCCCATAGAGGTACAACAGCCTTGGAGGAGCAGAGACAGGTAGATCCTGGAGATTCCCTGCCAGCTGCTGTAGCTGAAGCGTCCCAGGTCCAGCCAGGGGTCCTATCTGGAGGGAATGAGGAGGAGAGTAGTAGAGGAAGATAGCGGCATTGACTTCTGCCCTGCACACAGGCTCCTGCACAAACATGCCCGCCCATGCAACTCTAAAGTTTAAAGAGCATATTTGAGAGCTGGGAGTGGAGCAGAACCCTGTCGTCCCAGCACCTGGGAGCAGAGGTGGCAGGATTGAGAATTCAAAGTCAACAAGGACGACACTGAGACCCTGGCTCACAAAAACAGCAACAGAAGTACCAGATGTCACATGACGCTCATCGTACTGGGATGGATATGGGTTGTATACCGGTTGGACATAGTGGAGAGCTCTGAAAGCTTTTACCACAAAACATTGTGGTTTTACATTTTTCAGTGGGTAAAATCTCTATAATCATTCCCATCCAAGTAACTGACATCCGAAGCACTCTGGTCCCAAGCATTTTGGAACAGGGATACCCAACCCGTGCCAAACCAGGAGTTGCTCAAGTCTAAATTAGTGAAAATTTCGGTGGTTGTTTTGTCTGGCTTTATTTTGAAGCGTGCAGTATTAAAAACTTAACCACGGCGACTGCTGCTGAGTCAAATGAAGCGATGTAATGAACACATCTTGAATCTAGGGGGCACTGCGTTCCCTGCCGCCAGCCCTTGCAATGTGTAAACTGGCTAGGTCCAGTCAGGAAACTTCCCCTGTGGCAGTTTCTGGTCCCGAGCTCAGAGGAATGCAGCTGGGGTTTCATTAAACTTGGATGTAAACAATAAACTGTACCTTTGCTGAGCGAGAGGCTGTGTCCTCTCCATTCTACTCTTGAAAACTGGCTGATGTTGTGCAGGGAGGCAGGCTCCCCAGTCATTGTGAACATGGCGAAAGCAGGCTAAGAGGCATAACAGCCTGTGGAGATCCTCTACGTGTTTGGACAGTACTCACGGCAAACGAGAGTGCAGCCCACCCGCTTGCCACCTCGGCCTCAGTCTACACAAACTCCATTCATTCTGTTTCTTCAGCAGCATGCAAGTGTCGCCAAAGGTGAGGCCTGAGTTGGGAACCTCGGGGACCTGCTCCTCCATGGCTCTGCTTGCCCTTGAGGTACTGATTCCCCGACCCCTCAGTAGCGTTAGGGCACACAGCCATGGCAGCTCTCATGTGGGTGCTGAGGATTCAGACTCAGGCCCCGTCACTTGCACAGCGAGTGCTCTTGCCCACTGAACTGTCTCCTTCATCTTGTTACGAGAGCCTCAGTGAAGGGTTAAGTGCATCTTTACACAAGAAATGTGTGAAATGTTTGTTTATTTTATGAGTCCATTCTGTAATATATGAGTAATTCATATTTCTCTTTTTTCCGTTGTATAACCAGCCTATATTTGCTGTGGCAACAGAATGAAAAATGTTGTTTTTATTTTAGTTTTCTATATATAGTTGTTATGTGCTACATATATTTTAGCACTGTTGGATTGCCAGAGACCAATCAAGTCTACACATTTAATAAAATCATGTGAGAGGTGAAGTTATTTTGTTCTTATCTTGATAGCTCTGGAAAAAGGCACTGCGTCAAAGCCCTTGTGCCTGTGGGATGGAAGTTGTGTTCGGTGATATTGAATGTAATGTCACATCATTTTAAAGCCTTGTGTAGTTGCCATTACTAAGCCATATTCGCTATATTTGATCTTCTAGATGAAGAAAGATTTGACTGTGATTAAGTATGTGCAGTACCATCCTGGAATAAATTTTATTCATAGATTAATAAAATATGTGGCTCATGATTCAAGGAAATACTTTAGGCTTTAAATGCAGTTGCCTATCTACAGTCTGTTTAAATCGTGTGCAGCTGAAATCTGTTTCATTCTAAAAACTAAGAGTTCAGCCAGCACTGGGAGATACAGAGTACATGTTTTTTAAGGCCATCATAAGCATTCCCAGTCACACAGAGGAATGTTCTAGAACCCATAGCTCTGGCCTTTCAACACTGTCAGATGTTCTGATCTGCAAGTGCTCTCAGCTTCGCTTCCATGCTCCTCAGAGACCCTCCTCACTCTCAATGCACATCTTTACTGAGGTGTGGAGAGTTCAACAGTGGGGATCAGAAAGCATGATTTCTCTCCCTTCTTTTCACACTCGTAGCCTGTGATTTTAATATTACTTAGGAAATAATGGCAAGGAAAGCTTCAAAACTCAGCTTGCATTCTAGTTCTCTAGGCCTCTATAAGAAAGACCAGGATGTATTCACAATGTGGGAGGCGGGGTTTACGCTGGCCTGCACAAGTCCCTGCGGCATATACCCTGTGTCACTCCCCTTGATTGTAACCCATGAACAGCAGCTGTCACTCTCTTGGCTTGTTGGCATTAAGAGGCAGAAGTGACTGTGTCATCATCTGTAAGCTTCTGACTCCTCAGGTGGCTAGAGAAAATTCCTGCTGGCTTAGAAGAAATATTCGATGCTGTAATATGGAATATTTCTTGGGCTTCAACCTGTGGGTGGCCCCTAAAAGCTGAGAATAATTCTTGGTCCAATAAGGAGGCAGGAGTATCAGTCACAGCCAGAAAGAGGAAGAAAGCTTTGATATGTAGGTTGCCTACAGAGAACCTTCTGGAACCAGTCTGCGGCAGTACCGAAAAGGAAAAACCAGATTCATACCCACATTTTCCTCATCGGACATGTGGAAGGGACACAACCTTCCCATGAGCCATCTGATCTACACCATGGTGGAAAAACAGCTGAAATGGGAAAGGGCTCGTGGTTTGAATGAGAAACGACTCCATAGGCTCACATTTTTGAACACTTGGCTTGCTGGATGTTTGAGGAAATTACAGATCCTTTAAAGAAATGAAGCTCTGCTGGAGGAAATAAGTCACTGGAGGATGATCCCAATTTATGTTTTAGTTTGCTTTTCCTTTTGTGATAATAAAAGCAGCTTGGGTGGGAAAGGATCTATTTGGCTTACACTT